TTGGAATCAAACATGTTAAAAATAAAATTGAGTAGTCTGAAAAAGCTGCTGTGAGAGAGAAATCGCTGCAGAAAAAGCACTGCTTAATCCCCTCTTAGAAGTGATCCCTGACTGGATGCTTGCAAGGTAAGGCTATCTAAGCACACACAGCTAATTAACAAGGAGCAATTGCTCTATATTATTAGCTGCACATATTAATTTTACTGCTATCTTGATCTCAGGCCCTTTCAGAGACGTGCCAGCTTTTTTTTCCATTTGTTGGACATCACCATTTTCCCAGACTGCAAGGTCTTTAGTCAGGGTGATTTGTTTGCACTGTGCCTAACACAAAGGCACCATTATGCCAGACTGAAACCGCAGGTGCTTATGCAACACTGACAATGTAACTCTTCAGGTGGGCAAAAGGTCTTGCAGCATATTGTGACAACACAAGTTATTAAATTATCTCAAAATTGTGAAAGAGTTTTAGAAGTGTTTGTTTCCATGGAAAACAGAATTAAAGATATATAGTTTACTTAATTCTTTAGCCTGTTTGTTTTATGAGCTGAAAGATCAGTGGAGTACAAGGAAAAGATCAACAAGGAAACATTTTATTTCTTTTGATTTCTTTCTTTCCTTTCTCTCCATTATCACTATCATTCAACTCCTATTTCTTTTACTGTCTTTTCATCTTTTCTTTTTTAGTACTTGCAAAGTTCCTTTTTCTCCAGAGAGACAACGCTAAAAGGAGAATTTCTAGTTGAGTGTTAGCTAGGAACAATCTGAAGGGAGAAAAGACTGGCTGTGAGCTCTCAGTTCTGAACCTGTAATATTGACTTTCCTAGAAAGAATCCAGTGTATGAAAGACTGCATATAAACAAACATCATTCTTTCTGCTTCCAGTGCTACATATTCACTTACAGTATTCACACATTTAAAAACACCCAGAGATACTCAGTATGAGAATGCAGGTTTATATTCAACTCCCAAATTCCAAAAGTGCTACAGTTTATACTATTGTAAGTAGTGATAGAGGCAAAGTTAATAAACTAAATGCTCTTCCAAGGAGGACTTAAGGCATTTTCATACTATAAAAGAAGTTTTCTAATATAATTCCAGTAAGCAAAAATAAAACGTAAAGAAAATCCAGTCTCTCATAGTGAACTTGCCAAGGCTTACCTCTTGTAAGTAAGAAATATAACAGGAATAAAAAGAAAGTTCAAAATCCCTATGGTGAGAAGTATCTGGTATCAAATTTCTGTTTGACTCTTGCTTTGGTGGACTTTTGGGGATTTTTAATATCTTCCAAAACGTAAAGTACATATCCTACATATCCTAGCTTTTTTTTTTTTTTTTTGTAATGCATTTCACATGTGCTTGAAATAGACAGAAAAATAGACAGAAATCATTAAAATTTTCTGGAAGGGAGCATTTCCTTTTAGAGACCATAGAGACCAAGCCCTCAAAAAATACCTAAAGTAAACCTGACCACTTTCAGCACAAATTGGTGCTAAAGATGAATTTGATCTAATTACTGCTCATAATCACTTAAAAAAAAAAAAAAAAAAAAAAAAAAAAAAAGAAGAAAAAANGACCGTTAAATATCTTAAAAGGAACAAATATCTAACATACTTCTGTAATTCCACAAAATCTAGGATTTTTGTTTTTATACCTTAATATTTTGTCTTAAGTATAGTTAGGAAAACTATAATATACAAACTAAATTCCCAGGCTGCACTATCACTCTAAAACTACTGTTATTTGTTGCTAATGTATAATCTGTTATGGATAGAGATCTGTGTAGCAGAGGCTAGTAACTATTTCCCTCATATACCAGTTTTTCATACAACTGCACATTTTTATAAAGCTTCCTCTTCCATCTTTAGAGAAACAATGCTGCTGCAACTAAACACTTCAGTAATACCTCAAAACCCCAAAGGATGAGTCAAGAGAGCCACTGTAAATTCAGGCTCAGGGAAGCTACATTTAATCCAACTTTTAGATCTTTCTTCATACACCAAACTATCATGATAGATAAAGAGTGACTACACAGATTATTACAGACTTTTAGATATAAAAGGACATCAAGAATATAAAGCAAAAGAGTGGCTGGTCTTGCTGATGACGGTGTGGACATCTGCAACAGGTCAAACTATCAGCCAAACCTGGCACAATCAGCAGGGAACTATGAAGAGGAGAATGGAGTCTGGTTTCCTTTAGCTCAGCAAACATTTAGGGAATGAACAATACAGGAGCAAGAGCACACAGCCTGAAAGGAAGGTGTCTGACTATGGCGAGTCAGGGTTTCTAGCTGTTTGGAATAGAAGAGTGTGTGTGTGTGTGTGTGTGTGTGTCTGTGTAAGACAGGAAAGGTTTATGTAGAGTGATCTTCCACAGTGGAAATCTACAGTGAGTGAGCATGCATTGCTATTGACATCCATCAGTCAGGTTATACACACAGAAAGTTTTAAAGGCCATATGGGCAGAAACACTTCTGTGTCTGTATTATATGTTAGAGAAATGAAAAAGAGGCACTCCTGGATTTCTCCCTCTCCCCTCCACCCATAATACTGATCATTAGGAAACAGACAAGACAACCATTCATCTAAGACACTGCAGAAATACTACTATCTGAGGCAGGTGCAGCTGAAGTCTCCCAGACTCTTCCCAATCTCTCCTCACCTAAGTAAAGGAAAATAATTGCTCAATTCCTATCACCATGCTTCCAGCACGGTGAGATTTTGCAAAAGTTATGTTTGTAGAAATTTCCCAGGGGCAATATTCTGCATCAGTAATAGGGTAATCTCACTGTAAATCAAAGGTATTTCATTTTTGTTGACTAGACAGCAACATTTATCAGTCTAGTAAACTAGCAGTCACAAATCAATAGTGAACCTCAAGTTTCCAAATGATAGAAGCAAGTTCTCTCATCCTGAAACAGGACTAATCCAGTCAGTCCGGAATGCTCTTCTAGAAACTCTTCTAGATGATCTGACTCTTGGATAGTCAGTATTATTGACTCTGCCAGCATGACAGACCCTTAGTTCACATAATGCCACGGACTTATTCCCAGTTGTTGATCCTAAAGGGAATTCTGAAAACTTGAGAGATGGGAAGCATCATGTCTTCCCTACTACATGAGTCCCATATGCACTCACAAGAGAAGTTTATGTAATATTTATGCTTGATGTTGTTTGATTAGGTGTCAGGCTTCTTTGCCTTTGACTCTGTGCCAGTACAGCCAGTGCAAGGCTGCTAAAAGAGAGGAAACTTGTACCTGCAGCCTTGATAACAGTACAGGTAATCACAGGACTGTGTCTGACAGATACTCAACTGAGAAACCAAAGGAGTAGCGCACGGTCATAGGTGCACTACTACAGATGACTTCCACTGCCCACTTTCAAGAACTTCTTTTCAAGAAATAAACACTATTTTTATGGATAGCTCCAAAGAAGAAGCAATTTGAGAAGGAGGGACAGGAAACAAAACACTTTAGAGACATATCTCTTCTTAAGGGAGAAGTGCATACACTGCACCTTGTAACTGAACGATCTGAGGCCATAGTTTTGTTAACATCTTTATATTGACTCAAAGTGGTGATTACCGTATCCACGCATTCTGTCACTCATTTTTGAGAGCTAGGGCTTACATACTGACAAAACATGAATGGGATCCAGGAACTTCTTAAAGTTAGCTATTACGGCTCTGCTTCACTAACACAGTAAGCTGTCATATAATGCCTTACATGTATTTATAGAAGCAGTAGAATATATGCTACCCTCTAGTTACTTTGGTGCCCAGTGCTCATAAAGCTTCTTGAACAGTACTCTAAATTCTTCATATTTATGTCTCAATTACTTTTTGCTATGAGCCATCTACGTATTTCAGCTTTCCCACTTATGTAGTTTTCGGTCTTTTCTGTACTTTTGATAACAGTCAGAAAAAGGAGAGTCACTGAACATACACTACTGACCATACTAAATCAGGAATCAGTTGTTCAGCTGTAAGTGTAATGTGACAGCCTCTTTCTAAAATAGCAGGAAGATTTTCTTTCATGCACATTTCTGGGTTCTTTTTTTGGTCCACAGCATATTTCAAGAAAAGCCTGCCTGAGGAAACAGACCAAAACCAACAACAGAGAAACTGCTACAGAAACTTATCTGAAGGCATTAAAAATTAAATAGCTTTTTAAAGAGCTCTCAGTCTTTATAGTAAAACCTATTAACATTGTCCAGACTGATCTAATTAATTCCATTTCAGACAACTCTGTTTGGTTGTTGGTTAGGAGCCCGAAGCAGAAGTGACATTTTTTCCTATAACTCTTAATCATATTCCTTCACTTTTCCCTTCCATCTCAAACACTTGACGGTGGGGAGAAGCCCACTGCTATTTGAAGAGGTGGTCACAAAAGCCTGATGAATTCAGACTGCAGGAGAGCAATACTTCAAAGCTAATGAAACCTCATACAAACATTCTTTTCAGCAGTTACTCTTCTGGCAACTGAAACAACAGCCTCTAATCACAAGAGCCTCAACCATTATTCTTACACTGTTCACTCCCTCAGATAAATACTTGCATGTTAAGATCCCCAGTGGAAAATGTGTAATTTTAAGAGTCTCAGAGGATTCCCCAAAAATTATCAACACAATAAGCACAACTGCTTATGGGAAGATATACCTTTGTCACTTCACATTCCCCACATAATTTCATACATTTCCTTAGCAGTTTTATGTTCCATGCAGTAAGGACATACTGCAGCAGCTCTTAAGGTAGAAACGTACAAGCGTGGAAATCTACTTTCATATTATGGAATATATGAATAACTTTAGTCAAATAAGTTGAAGTTTTAAGTTTCATATGTCTAATTTAAGTTAAGCCAATTAGGTACACATTTGAAACTGAAAGACAACATTTAAACACTTGCACTTTTGAATACTTCGTCATCAGTAAGAGCTCACTTACTATAAGATCTTTTTCCCCAAGAAGTCAATGACGAGCAAATATATTTTGCAGTAACATACCTTGAAGTTGCAATTTCCACTTTCGTTCTTGCCATGGCAGCCGCTCGCTGTGCACCCTCTATTGCTCTATCCACTTTTTCTCTAGTTTTTGTGTTTCGTATTGGTATAAGTTGCTTTCTTATTCCACGAACCAAAACATTATTTTTGTATTTTCCTTCTTCTTTGGTGCCATCTGGAAACATGGTACATCCATATCCGTGCCTCCTGTTATTTAGCCATTCTCCTTCATATTTCATGCCATTTGAACGCTCACTAACACCAAAACCACTGCGCTTGTCATTCTTCCATTCACCCATATAGGTTTCTGTCGTGGTGGCATCAACGTGGTCTTCCATAGGACAATAATCACAGTCACCATCTCCAAAACTAATTGTAGAGTTGGCATCACTGGAACTAATTCTGCTCATAGCAGCATCACTCCTGACGGAGCTCCGTTTGCTAGATATTGAGGATCTAGATTCAGATTTTCTAAGTTTTATACTACCAAGAAGGGATCCTCTTCTGAATAAGCCTCCTTTTTTCTTAATTCCCATGGCTTCTGCTTCACTGTGAAAATTGAGCACAAAACCTCCTCTTGTTCCAGCCGGACTGTCTGCAGTGATGTCATGCAGAACGGTGCCATTGCTCTGTTCACTTCGAAGTGAAGCTAGAGATGTTCGTAGAGGTGAACGGATCACAGTTGCCATGCCATAGGGTACACTCTGACGTACACCATATCCGTGTCGCATTCCTCCTGTCCATTGTCCCTGGTATGTACCTTTTAAAGTAATTAGCAGAAATTAAATTTAGAAAGTTGTAGAAGACCTACCAGTCTACATTCAACATGCTATTGGCAACACCGTGCTGTTAAGTCTGTTTTAGGAAACTAGAAACAGGAGAAAAAAAGATTACAACACATGGGACTACATAAACTACATACTTTTTGTTACTTGTTTTTTTTTCATAAATCATTTTTTCCCTTAACAAGGCCCTTGCTTTCCAAGCTGCAGTAGTTTATTTTGACAACTAAAACACAGTAGCTATCATCGTAAGTGTTTTTTGAGCAGTTCTGCCCAGGGAAGAAATTTCAAAAGAAATCTGAAAGGCAGAACTCCCTCAATGTTTTTTAAAGGGAACAACAAGGAAGAGAGAAAAGGGTGGAGGGAAAGAAAGCAGGGAGGAAGCGGAGCACTTGGGCTCTTGCATCCAGCTGCTCACAAGGAGAGCTAGTGGGACGAGTAAACATCCTGTTTTTTTAAGACAACTGCAGACCTCTCCCTGTCATGACATACTCAACAACCTACTAAATTGTCTTGATCCCAAGGCCCACCTGAAGACCGCTGTTATGAAGCCCTATCACACAATCAAATATTTTAAAAAGATTTTGAATGTACTTGAATGGAAGGAAATGATAAAACGCTACAAACAAAACCTCCATATATATTGCTTTTTATGAACATTTTTTTGTTTACTCAATATGATAAACAAAGTACACTAGCTACCTAAAATACTGGCAGTATAAAGCAAGCTACACTTAACTCTAACTACCCTTTCTGAAGAAGAAGTCACAGGAAAGCAGCAGACTACCTTCACTGCCACCTCATCCGTTGAGTAATTCCCAGAAGAGTAGGTCCTTTGCTTGAGAAGTAGCTGAACTCAGGTTTAAAGATACAAAAATATTCAAGCTATTTGACAGTCATCAAAAATATGAAAGGCTGCTGTGACACAAAAATACAATCAGATTATTTTTCTATTTACATTCTGCAGTATGTTGTGACAGAAATCAGAAATGCAAAGGCTTTTCTACTTTTTTTGCCTTCCATTTATGCTGCAGTATATACAGAAGACAAGACAGTAATAAACAGAGTATGACACACCACCCTATCTATAACTACGTTCCATTGTTTATACTGCGGCCATAATTATTTTTGAGTGTTTTTTCAAAAAGCAGTACAAAGAAGAGCAACACGGTATTTGATATGAGAATACATGCTTATCTGTGTACATGCAAAGCTGCATCTGAGCCAAGAAACAGCATTATCATCAGATTACTGTTTCAGACTATTTTATTTCTTGTATTCTCAAAAAGCATTTTCATTTTGATAAGACACACGCTCCCATGCCTGGGCTCTGAAAGCCAAAGGAAGGTGTGAGGTGCCCCACTGCTGGCAAACAGAAGATAACTTGCTTTCTAAGATCATTTCACTGTAATCCCTATGAAACTTCTTCAAGAGAGACAAAAAAAAAAAAAAAGGTTTCTCATCCACCTACTACTATTTCTTTTAAAAGCTATTTTGACTCTGAATATTCATACAGAAGCATGAATAAGCTCTCCCTAAAATATCTTTGAGCTTATTCTGCTTCAACTGAGTACATATTAAAAATGATTCTTCAGAGAACTAAAGATCAAACGTCAAATTCCATGACTAAACAAAGTTTTGTAAACATATTTGTGGAATACCTAGAGTTTCAGATGCAGCTCAAAGATTCAATTGCTTTGATATTGAATCTCCTTTGCATAAGCATGGTATTTTGGCTGTGCTGGTGTCAATTATCTATCGATTACTGTTTCACTGTATTACCTCTTCAGCTAAGCTGCATTTCAATGTTAACATGCAACAATTACATTTACATTTGTGAGATTTCTTTCTTATATAATACTAAATAGGTTTGACAACATAACTATTTTGTGTTGGTAGAAAATTCTACTAAGTGGAAGGTTTTTGTTTTAACAGATGGCTGCTGACATAAACCAACAACTTTCTTCGTTTCTTTCTCATTCTCTGTATCCTGGATACCTATTGCTGTATTGCTTGTAAGGGTGCTGAATCCAGAAACATGATTATTTTAAAAAACTCAGCATATGGAGAAGAACAAATAGAGACATGAGCACAAAACAGCAATATGACATACACTGAAAATACTGCAAAAAAAAAAAGATCATATGGTAGTCTTTTTCTTAATTAAACAGACATTTCACAGAGATATATTAATATTTTCTGGGCATAAATGACTACATTTTGTCCTCAATTATAACTGGAAAAACCCTAGTATCGTAATGACATGCTGAAGCAAAGAATCTGGCAAGGTACACTGCACTGCTACATGTAACAATCTAATATTCTGCATCAGTTCGTTAACTTCATTTGAAAATAATAAATCCAATTCTAATTGTGATTATATCCCAGAATTACATTACAGCAGTATAACTGTGGCTCTCCACATTGCTATTTGAGTGTCTGATTCAAAGCAGAAACAATCCCTTTCAGCACAGAATTTTATAAAAGTATAAATGGCCTGCCTATGCTCCATTTTTTCTTACTAATATTTTGACTTGGAAAAAAAAAAAAAGCTCAAAAATAGTTAATCAAATTATGATTCACGTTTTTCCCTGCTCTTTAGATAGAAGTGGTTACTGTTGCCCAAAAGGGTATTAAAATGAGGGCAATTGATGTGCTGCTGTTTACTTGTCAGATTTTTCTTTCTACTAGGCCAATAAAATCAATGCCAGTGTCTTCTAAAGAGAAAAGAGCAAATGAGGCAATGAAAGATTCATAGTGAACTGGGTCTTGAAAGAGATCTAGTTGGAATTTTATGCAGCCTTGGAGGCAACAAGGATTTTTTCTAATATAAGAAATTTGTAAGAGAGAAGGTTCAATACTAGTGCTAGAAAGCTGATGCTTTCCTTGATTTTTTTAACTTAAATGTTAAAGGAAAGATATTTTAATGGTACGCGGAGGGCAGTTTACAGAATAAGATGCAACAGACCTGTAGAATCATAGAATGGCCTGGGTTGAAAAGCACCACAGTGATCATCTAGTTTCAACCCCTCTGCTATGTGCAGGGTTGGAAACCTAGAGCCACATCCAGCCTTGCCTTGAATGCCTCCAGGGATGGGGCATCCACAATCTCCTTGGGCAGCCTGTCCCAGTGTGTCAGCACCCTCTGTGTGAAAAACTTCCTAGAATGGAGACTTTAAGTACCATGATTTATCATATCAGACTATAAATGCATTATCTCCTTCATCAGAAGAAATTATAGACATCTTCAAACAATCAAGGTATTTGGTATGTTAATATTGTAATATAAAACACTACAGCATACAGTACAAGACGATAAAACAGCTCTTCTTATGAATAAAGATAGAAACGTGGTATCTACCTAGCTCTATACATGGATATAAATATGAATGATAACATCAACACATCATTTCTCATTTCATCATATATTATAATGCACTGTCTGAAGCATTCACTGAGGGTCAACTTTTAAATTTTTGATTACCACTGTGATCACAGAGCTAATTTAAAACTGTATTTGACCATAAAACATAAACCTTACTTTCTAAAAGCCAGGCTTCTTGTAGCAAAAAAACCCAATCATTCAGCAACAGCTTCTACTGACTGTGGTGCCCCTGAGCAGATGTTCATATTTTCAGCCCGAAAACTAACAGAAAGTGTACTTTTAAATTTTGTTTTTGCTGACGAACTGCTGTAAGGTAGAATGTCATAACCTGTCTCCTTAGAGCTACATCGTGCCATCCTTTCCCAGACTCCCAACTGTATCTTAGAGCTGTAAATGTCATTGCCTACTTGTGGCTCAAATGTAAAACTGTGCCGTAAAAAAGCATGGAGGCCACTGCACTAGGAACTGCCTGACCTACTCACAACCTTTACATTCATCTTCTGTGGTTTAATAATTTAGGTGCCACCTTAATGTTTTCACATGCTCTTCAGACTCAAACATTAGATAAACAAACACCTAGAAAGCTGACTTCTTAGAAATCAATGAACGCATGCAATGCCAATGGCCTTTTCTTCACATGCATTTGCCACTACAGATCAACAACACACGTTCTTACAGCAGTACTCCTGTTACTGCTACTGCTGGCAGGATCATAAGTTGCTAACTAATTTACACATACTGAAGCATCAAATTAGGCTGCAGTCCCTCAGTAAACAATTTTCAGGTAGGCAAGTGGATTCACACGGATCCAGGGAAATCAAGGCAGCATGGAGGAGGCACAGAACTCCAGATCATTGTAGGGTGCAACCTGAAGGGTCACTTGAAGGCCAAACATAGGCATGTGCAATGAACAGAGGACCATGATCTACATATAATTCACAGTGTTTTTCTCAAAGACTCAATGGAGCGACAATTTTAATGCATTCAGACAAGGCACGATCCATACTACTGACAACGTGCAAAGCAGTGTGTGCAGAAACACTGAGGACTGCCACTGGTATTTGCGTTCCTTTTTCCTTCCTCAACTTCATTTACTAATATCATCAAAGCAATTAGAAATAACCTATTACTAATACAAACAAACAAAAACACAAAAAACCCACAACAGTAAAAAGGCCAGTATTTTAGTGAGTTTGAAACAAAGTGGCAGTTTGCATAGTAAAACCCATCATTTTCCAGTATTCTCAGGTCAGAAACAGCTTTCCTGTAATTATTTCACAGTGTATTAAAGACACATATGTAAATCTGGCTGCCTTGTAAAAGCATTTCAGACATTCTTTTAGTGTGCAGATATGGCCGTTGTACCCAGAGCATGAAAACAAAGATCCATCTGCAATCATCTGACATATCGCCTGGCTTCATTCACAAATGCTTCTATTAAAATCAATGGGATTCACACCTTCTGTCCACATGAATTGAAATGTCTAAAAGACTGGGACTTTACTAGCAGATTTCAGTTAATAAAGATAAAGAATTTACAGAGGAAGCTGTACATTCCAAGTGCTGTTTCAGACAAAGGGTTTCCTGTTGGTTTAAAGCCTAAAAATTTACAGATTTTAACCACTGAATTATCAGTATTATAGTGAAATAAAAAGTATCCACAAGAAATCTAAAGATAGAGATACAAGGAACTTTGGTTTGTGAAACTCAGTAGCAATTTACTTTTCTGGATAAGAAAAACAAACAACAACAACAACCAATCAAAACTATGGCCACTAAGAATTCAGCTTCTGAGTTACGAGACAAAATAAATCTGAACAAAATTCAAAATGTATTATGTGATGAAAGTGAAACTGAAAATTTATCTACGTGGGTTTGGTTAGGCTTTTAAATCCTCAAGACAATAGCCAAGCTGAGAGTGATCATCAGAGCTTTCCACATCAGAAAACCGTTTCCACATAGTTACAAATATGCGCAATCAAGGGGATTAGAAGAGTTCAGGGTACAAAAAACATAACACTGCATTTTCTCATGGAAATGAATCTCACCCAATTCACTACACTCTGTATTTCAGAAAAAGCAGAAGGGGAAAGTACTCCACCTGTAAACATCTCTTTTGCATAATACAAAATCATCTATTCTGTGATGCTATTTGTGCAGTTCTGTCACAAATCCCTTAACAAAACTCCCTAAAGAAACCAGCAGCAGCACCATTCAACAGATCTGATAAATAGGCTGGTCCTTTAATCTCCTCATTACGAAGTTACAAGTTACCACTAATTTTGTTAAGTTCTATTTCTTGCACGTTACACGTGCAGCTTGCTCAACATTGCAGCAAGCAGTATTTCCTTAAAAAATAGCACACCTCTAATCCTAAAACTGAGATCAGCTCTTTCATTTACAATGGGACAAATCAACCACAAAACTGCATGGCCTGGAAGGGACCTTAAAGATCACCCAGTTCCAACCCCCATGCCATGGGTAGGGATGCCCCAACTAGATCAAGCTGAAGAGCAACTCCACGCAGGTTGAGGTGGCACTTTCACTGATGTCAGTAACGTTCCAGCAGCAGAAGGCTAATTTAAAAACACTGGGATTACTTCTCCACGCAACACGTGAAATGATGCAGGCGTGGTAAGATGAGGTGGAACTAACCCATCAAGTGAGCAGAGTCCTGAGTGACCCCACTAAGCCTGAGCTCGAAAAGCACTGCTAAAATGGGTGTGGGGTGCCCGGCCCTACTGCATGCATCTGTCTTCCTATGGTGAGATAGGGGGTGATGTGGTTTCATCCATCACTCGTCCAGCTTCTGTGCGTTTCAAACTGCAATTGCATTTGAATACAGTGCAAGTCATTGCACGGAGGTGCAGCTAAGTTTCACTCATGTCATGCACATTCGGTATCAGCTTCACTACAGTTGAGTTTATGAGTGTAAACCAGCGTACGTTATCAGTGTAGGGAGGAAACACGGCGACATGGGATGAGGCTCTGTTCTGAAGTTTACAGTATTTTACCACGGAAACAGTGGTGAGACAGTCACAGAACCACAGCACATCCCAACTTGGAAGGGTCCCACACGGATCACTGTGTCCAACTGCTGTCCCCTCGCAGCACCAACCAATCCAAGCCCCACTTCCAAGCGCCCCTTGAGCTCCGGCTTCGGTCACCGCCCTGGGCAGCCTGTTCCAGCCCACCACCCTATAGCGAACAGCCTTCCCCTAACCCCAGCCCGACCCTCTCCGAGGCTCCAGGCGCAGGGATCTCGCCCTCCCGACCCTCGGCGAGCCCGGCAAGCGCTGCGGGGAGCTGCCCCGCCACGGAAAGCCGCGGGCTGACCGCGGTTAGCCCGGGCTGGGAGACCGCGATAAGCCGGGAGCGCCGCTCGGCCGAGCCCCGGAGCGGCCGTTAACGCCGGGCGGGGCGGCGCGGGGCACCTGTGGCGCCCGGTGCGCCGAGGAATCCTCGCCGCCCCGGCGGCGCGAGGCCCGACGGCGATCGGGTCCGGGCCCTGCCCGCCGAACGCGCGCTCACGCAGGCGCGCCCCCTTCTCGCCCCCCACCGCCGCCGCTGCCGCGCGCGGGGCGCCCCCCGCCGGCGCCCACCTCCGTCGCCGTAGGTCTCGACGCCGTAGCCGTCCTGCAGCCCGTTGCTCCAGGTGCCCTCGTAGCGGGCCGGCGTGCTGAGGCTCTGCCGCACGCCGTAGCGCCCCTTGAAGCCGTGCGACCACTCGCCGCGGTACATCCACCTGCCCTTCGTCTCCACGCCCAGCCCGTGCCGCTTGCCCTGCGCCCAGTAGCCCAGGTAGGTGTTGCCGCTGGGCCAGGTGTAGCCGCCCGCCACCTCGAAGCCGTGCGACCAGGAGCCGGCGTACTCGCCCTGCCCCTTGGGCCCGGTGCAGATGCCGTGCCCGTGGGCTTTGCCGTCCTCCCAGCCGCCGCAGTAGGTACCGCCATCGTCGAAGTCGAACCGGCCGCCCGTCATCCAGGGCAGCGGGGCGAGCGCGGCGCCGCCGCCGCCTCCCACCCGCCCGCCTGCCTGCCGCCCGGCCCGCCGCTCCCCGCGACTGCGAGCGCTCCGCCGCCGCCCGCCCGCGCCCAGCCCGGCCCAGCCCAGCCGCAGCCCGGCGGCGGCAGCGAGCGGCGCCCGCCCCCCGCTCCTCCCCGACCGCCCCTTCCCGCCCCCGACCGCCGCCGCCGCCCCCGGGAGCGGGAGGCCGCCCCCGTAAGGTGTCCCCCCGGGCGGGGACGGCGGGAGGGGGGTCCGCGCACTGAGCTCCTGTGGGCGTTGTGAGTGGCTGCAGCCTGGGAGGTAGCGTGCTCACAGGTGGAACTGAAATGTGTCGGTCTTTGGGCTCTAACGCTGCTTTTAAGTTAAAGTCGCAGGTGCAGAGCTGTGCTTTGTCCGTGTCCTCAATCACACCCCAATCCCGCTGTCCCAAAGGGGCATACGGCCGCAGAAACTCAAGCCTCGAGAGCTGAACGAACGCCTTCCAAGGACGGCGCTGGGAACTCGGTACAGAACCTCACGTTGTGCCCCAGCTCCATGACCTTCGGCTGACTGAATGGCGTTAAACGCTGCCAAGTCTTCCTCTAGGTATTTGATAATCAGATAAAAATACAGGGGTGAATGACGGGAGAAACAAAAGAGCATAGAACTAGTGGAGAAGGAACTGAAAGGTGGTGTTGTCCCAGGGCATCTCTTCTGAAGTCTGGGCTTTGTGTACGTTTGCAGCCGTACACTAAGAGTGGAAAGAAATCTGAAAGCAAATGTCCCTTTTCAATGGGGATTCTGTAAAAAGCATGTGAATCATACTTGCAAATCTTCTATGCTGTCTGGACACAGAAGAGTGGGGAGACGGCCAGAGTGATGTTAGCAGAAGTTCATAGGATTTACTGGTAAGGGTAGAAACTAAACTGCAGATGAAGAATTTCAGTACGTGAATGTTTCAGTATGAACTATCAGAAGCTGGAAGCTAAGCTTCAGAAACTAATGCCAAATTCAGCCCAACAATAAGCAGTTTTGACTTAAACTGAAGGAAAATATAGCGCATATTAAACATTCAATTTTAGCTGAGTAAATTGTCAAGCTTTGTGCTTCGCACCACACTGTTCTGCGCACATCTTTGTGCTCGTGTGGGCAGCACCAAAGAACCTGCTCTTCCCACTGTCACTGCACCATGTCCCACCTCATCTCCTTTGATCAGAGGAAGTGTGTGCTATGAAGCCCAAAAAGGGGCTTCGGGATTTCTTGTTCTGCTGGAAAATGCATAGATAGATGTGTTTGTGTACACATATTTGCATGCATATGAAGAGAATAAGCCAAAATTGAAGAAATATGTCTTGTCCATGGGAATACAGGGATGTTTCAATGCCCCTTTGTGCCCTGGGGATTTTGCTCTGTATCTGAGGAATGTGAAAAACCAGGCAAGAATGTCCTATCTCTGTCAAAGACACCAGGAAGTCTTTCCTGCATCTTTAGGCAAGGAGGCTTTATAGTAAGCTGAGGTCTGAGACCTGTATGCAGTGGGAGCTTTTGTGAAAAGCTGCTATTAGTGCTGGAGCAGAAGCCTGAAAAGTCACTGGTTTGCTGAAAAAAATCAATTCAGTGTCCTCTGTTCTTTCCTGAGCTCATCAGGTTTTATGCCCTACATATCTTGCATTTCTCAGCCAAGGAAAGGATTGTAACAGTAGTGATCCCAGAGGAGCTTACTGCTTTCACTCTGCTTGTATTGATCACCCTTTCCCATTTTCTTTCTTAGAACACAAGAGAAAGCCATGTTGTGTTTTAGCCTAGAATCCCAGAAGACCAAGATTGTTTATCATTGCCTTTCTGTGTATTCCTGGTCTCCCGCAAAAGGACAGAGCTGGCACAGAGCAGGAGCAGAAGTGGGATGTTACAAAGAAGATGCTGAAGCATTACACTCATAAAATGTCTATTAGTTATTTTGATTTACTCCCTTGATTTAAATTACATAGAGTTAATATCAGGTCATAGGAACCAATGAGACTTGATGGGCAGAGGTGACCAATAGAAATTTTAGGAGGGAATTACATATGTTTTTCTGTTAGCACAAATATATTGGTGGGTCTTTAGGTGACTTACAAATGATGCTAAATGAATAGTAGTTTATATTTCCAGGTGTATTAATTTTAATGAGATTATCTTGGAGTTGATGCTTGGTGACAAGATGTATTTGTTACTACCAGCCTTCTCTTACCATATTTTCAGCAGGGGATAGATTTTGAGAGCTTTGAGGACAGAAGTGCTTTGCACTGAACTTTTAGAGTCATTCAGACATCTTGACGATGTGAGAAGAAGCCACTAGTGTCTCATTTCTGAGGTTATAGGGGTTTTTTTTCTTTTTCTTTTTTTTTTTTTTTTTCTGAAGTATAGAAGTATATTGTGGTATATAGAGAAAGTTAACCTTGTGTAGTTCCATTGCTAAGTACTCACAGCATTAAGTGTGATGACATTTCTGTATGCAGAACACCAGCACCTAAGGACTCTGCATGTATGCAAAACCTGTGCTGCAGACTTGTATTTAGAAATGTCCTCAATGCAGGGATGTAGATGCAACAGGTGAAGATATTAAACTTTAGCAATTTAATATTAACTAGATACAAAACTGCTGAGTTTAAACTATTAGTCTGATAGCTATCTGATGCATGAATAAAAATTAGGCACATTTATTCTTACTTTTAAAAGCCTGATTCAGCGGGGAATTACTTTAAGTACTTTAGTAATCCCATTTGCTTCAGTGGTACTGCACATGAGCTTTAAATTAAACATCTGTAAGATATCTGCTCTCAAATAAAGCAAAGCTTTGAAGAATATTCTTAAGTACTTTGCAGAACAGAGGCAGGATGCTGAACTGATGAGCTATACGTGTTATATGGGGTGAGTCCACAACAGGACAGCTGCGGGAGGCAGAAAGAAGCAGAGGTAGTAGAGAAGCTGCAAGGTAGGAATTCGAAAGGCATCCATATGAACAACCACAACGTTTGTGCTGATTTGTGTGTGTGTGTGCTTGGAGACTAAATGAACAATTATAAATATAGTTCTGTATAACTTTAACATAAATTATTAATTGAAACATACCGCTTTTTTTTGCAGTCAACTGTGAAATTGAATACATTACTGTGAATAGTGGCGTGATAATGCTACAGGATTTTTTTATCCAAAAAGAAGTGAGAAATTGCTGTCCTATTTGAGAAATATTGCATTACAAAACTACTCCCCCAGCTGCATTAATAAGCCTCGGTTCTAGCTTGCAGCTGCAACCTAGCCAGTAAAATAGAGTATTTAATTCCATAGATGTTATGCTTACTCACTGAATATGAAGTTATTATTTAGTTTGCAAAATTAACGATGAAGCTTATAAAACAAAGATATCAATCCTTTTATATCTTGAAGACAAGATGGCTATGTTTTGTACACAGACTTGCTTTCAGCATTGCTCTGAACAGGAACTGAAGTAGATTTGAAATAAAAATGAGGTTTATTTTTAAGAAAGTTTTAAAAGCAGCATTTATATTAATCATCTTTGTTTCTCAAGTGGTTTTAACAGTAATAGAGCACTCCATACAAATAACGTACAGTGTATTGCAATATTGCAATGATATATATACATATTTTAATGTGTGAAGATATTAGGTCATTTTATAAATATGGTATGCAAGTATTATCAATACCTGTGAAATTACAGAAAAACAATGAAATATTGTTTCTGGCTCTTGTCAACACGATCTGTCTGTTTGTTTTTAATGTCTACAGAACAAAAATAAGAATGCATCACTATAGTTACTCTACACTTAAAAAAAATTTTAAAAAAAACACCCAATCCTTCAGATCTGTTTGATTTATAATTCTTGATTTGATGAAAAGTGTTATACCCTAAGATACCACCCAGAAAATGAGGCAGCAGGAAAAGATTACAAAATCAGTTTTGTCACTAGCAAGTGTTTTCTAAATGGCAATCTTAATCCTGCAACTACTGGATTTCTGTCTATTGCTTTCTCAGGGATAATAAAAACAGTTAATTGCTTTGCTCTTTGCAGCAAATTCATGAATGTTTGAAGGGTGCTCGTCACATCTTGCTTGAGTAATTTTCTTCATACCAAGTAGTTTGTAGCTTTTGTTTCTTCCCTCCTAGAATGTCACTGTTACTGTTCTCTGGACTTTCTCCAGTTATGTATTTTTAATAATAAAAGTTATTAAAGTATTGGATGTTAGAGAATTTGGTTCAGATTTAGTATTTGATACATCCCTCAGGCCTCAGTAATTAATAACTATCACTTAGTGACTGTAAACAACATGTACTCTCCTGCCGCAGTTTTACTCAGATCGTCTTTAATGAATGTGAGGAGCTTTGCCTAGGTTGAAATAGATAACATCCCTTATAGTGGAGGCTGAATTGAAAACACTTTTAGCACTTCAGTTTATCTCTGTATCACATCAGAAAGCTTTCCTCCCCACAGGGCAGCTTTGTCCCTCAGCCTTCTCCTCCTCCTCCTCCTCCTCTTCCCTGACTGGCTTCCGTCTGCCCCTTATCAGCCTTACCTCGTTCTGCAAGTTGGCCTTTCTGATTTTGTCCCTGCGTACTTGCACTATTCTCTAATATTCTTCCTTTAGTAATTTGACCTACTTTCTACTTGCGTATACTTCCTTCTAGTGTTTCAGGATCATCGAAGAGCTCTCGATTTAGTCAAGTTTGTCTTGTGATACTGTTTTTCCCTTCACATTGGGATGAACTGTGTGTATTTACAACTTTCATATTATTTCTTTATGAACACAGATCGCTGTTTCTGGAATTTATAATCAAATAAAATCCAGTAGAGAGGAAATCTAAGTTTGTGGTTTTAACACAACGGTCCTGGCTGACGCTGGCTTGGTATATTTTCATGCCCCCAAGCCCTCCAGCTTGCGCATGCCAGCACAACTGTTTCTTCAGTAAGCTATGATGTGGATCAGGGAACCAATCCAGCTTAAAAATAATCCAGCAAAAAGATTTATTTTTATTTCATTCTTAAAGCTGAATCA